TTCGGTTTCCAGCAGTTGCGTTTTTTGACTTTATTGAAAATATACGTGACTTTCCCTACCGAAAAATCCAGTATAACTTTTCACTATCCGGATTATGGAACCGGAAATTTGTTTCTGGAAACCCGCAATCCAGATTGCAGACAAAAAAATAATTTGTCAAACCTAAATTCCAGATAGAGTCCAGATAGAACAGATAGATTTCCGGTACCATAATCCTGATAGCGAAAAGGTATCTGGATTTTTCGGTAGGGTTGTAGCAAAATATTTATTGGAATTAAATCGTCTGGCGAAAAAAATTAAAAAAATGTTTTTGGGGGTGTCAGTGTCCCATTAACAATACCAATAAATATATGAAATGTTGCGATAATTTACTTTAAATCGACCCTGGCGCACAGCAGTGACACTATCTTGTGGGTTTTATGTGTATAATGCATGTATAAGATAAGGTAGGTTATTTTGTACCAGCTAAAATAAAAAAGTCTGCTGAAAAATTTTTTTTTTTATATTTTGAATTTTTCTTTGTATATGTCCTTCACACAGTATTCAATAGTTTTATTTTTCAACAGGCACGTACGGTATTAACTTGGGCGTGCTCCTGAAAGGGCATGCTGGTATTTGCAGCCCGAGTGGCGATGCCGAAACCCTTCGACGAGAACATAATCCCCTAAAAGTTCTCATTAACGGAAAACAAAAATGTGAACTGCCAACCTGCAACTGAAGCGGTTTTTTTTTATTTCGGGACTTCGTACGACGCTGTAGAGAAGGAGAGGCCTGAAGCCGAATGAGGGATAGAACAAAAACAGTTGTTTCGAAATCGGCCGCCTCTCCGCCAGCGCGCTGTCTTCTTTACTGCGTCATCACCGATAAGGTATCGGAGCTTTGCAAAGCTACTTGAATAGAGGAGGCTATGTTTTGAGGTGAATCAGTTAAATAAAAGCCTAGTGCTGCGAGGATATACAATTTCATGCTGAAGTCATGGCTGATCTTTGAAAACTAGCAGAGATGCACAACGCAACTAATAAGAATTTGTTTTGTGCTTATCGTTGCACTTTGTACCGAATTGAACCCACTTCTTTAAAAACTTGCGCCGAATAGGGCAATTATCGTACCCGATAAGATTTGAGTTTATCCTGCGCGCCGGGACGTTGATATGAAGGATAAAATCACCAAATGCACTTTTGAGGACAAACCGATTTATCCAATTGCAGGCGTATCCTTATCTCGAGAGAATTCCAAGAGAAATACCGTTCGTTTTCAGAATATATCTTATTTAGGAACAAAGTAACAAAACAATTACTTACGCAGTGAAACCGAGACCACAGCGCATTTCCCGGACGCCATAAACTGATACAAAACGGATAAGGAACGAAGCACGTGAATACGCAGGAAACGCTAAGAAACTCTATGTATCTGTGGCGGTTCCGGCTTTGGCTTATTCCTTTTTTTTTTTTTTTTTTTGCTATTGCCTGATTGTAAAATTTTAACACTTGCTCCCGAGATTGTTAGTTGCATAACTTTAAATGACTTTTCTTTTTTGAATTCTTTGTGTGTAGCAAAACAAACCGGAGGGGGGGGGGGGGGGGGGTATTCATTTTCTGTATGAATATTTAAAGACCTTACTCCAATTTTCTCAATTCGGCGGCTATGGTCGAGTATGGTACTTACGGAGGACACGCGTCATTGTACTTCTGAAACAAAGCCCATGGCCTTTGATTCGTCCTTTACCGGGATATGCTTGACGTTCTATGGTATCCACATTCCCAATTATTTGTTGACCAATAAAGGCACTTAGACTTATTCATAATGCTTACAACCCGAAAACGTCTGTATCGTTCTTGTATATCGTGTCCCGGTTATCTTATTAATCGACTCGCAGAAAAGTGAATCGTATGACATTTTTGTACAGCATAGTACATGATAATATTCGCTTGAAGTTCGAGGGCAACCTGAGGTACAATAACAGCCGTTACACAAGGCAAAAACATGATAAACTATACTTTTTTTCCCCATCCAGACACAGCCAATGCTACGAGCAAATCAGGCCAATCAGACAGCGACACAAGCTTACCATCATGGCATTCATCATGCCTCTGTACGCGTCAAAATAGCGTCAAAAGCGCACCGGTAGGGTGTTGGTCATGTTTTTGTACGTGTTCTATTATCGCTGAACCAATCTTGAACAGGGAAGGCCCAGTGACTTGCACTTTTCACGCTGTGTGAATGGTCCCATCAGCCTGTAGCGTTAACTTCGTCTGGACTTAAGGTGAAAGGAAGTATAGCATTGCAAGAACTGCTAAATTTGAATCTCTTGCTAGTGCCCTAGATGAATTGTTTTTAATTATAGGTGATTGAGAATCGTTTGAAGTAATATTTATTGCTAATTAGAATGTTAGCTTATGCATTGTTGTATAATCTCCTGCCCTTATATTATGTACTCCTCCATGCCTTGGCCGGTAAACGTCGGCTGGCAATATTATTCAAATAAAATAAATAGGAATATAGACTTGGTCCCTTGTCAAACACAAAAATATGCTCGCTCTTATCACATTAGTTCGTGGTGACTCTTATTGCTACGCCCGTGCATCAGTATATGTAAGCATTTACCTGCATTTCACATAATAATCAATGACTAAATCTTCTTTTGTTCCCTCAATCGCCCTACTTCACAAAACTTCACACAAATAAGGAAACAAAAAAATGAAATTTGACTCACTCCATTGATATACAAGCACTCTGTTTATATGAAAAGCGTTTGAAGTTGTTTGTAGAATCGGCTAAAGCATTTTTTAGACCAGCCTTGTTGTTGCGCTGGTTGGGTTATGGTGCTGTGGATGAGTTTAAGCGCAAGCAGTGACAGACACGATGTAGGGGACACGTACAAGCGCTTGTGCTTTATTCATTAATTTGTTAGCTTGACTTGTTGGCTTGACCAAAGCGCGGAGGCCATACAGAAATTCATCGACGGCCTTTGTATCGGAGAGAAAATACGACCTTGCCTATGATGTCTAGTACAACGACTAGATTAGTAAATGCATTGTCCGCAGGCGCATTATGATTACATTCAACCTGTTTGTTGCAAATGTATCACAAAATAAAGGCTTCGTTTCGAGTGTACGAAGGCACTTAGTGGAACAAAGTGGACTGTAATGCAAACGAAAAAAAAAAAGCGCTCTTGTAAAACGTGGAAGAACTCTGATGTCAAATTCTTGATGCACTGTTGCAATCGTCATAGGTTCCGTACTTCTTCAGAGGGAATGCCTTTTCGTATGGCAAAGTGCCGACACACTACAATTGGTATTTCCGAGAAATAGTACGTTCACGATACCTCAATTATTTTCAGGCTTACCTCTTGATAATACCTGCATTATATAGATAAATCCACCATGAAGATCATCCCGCTACCACTATCATATTGGGCAGAAAGGTACTCAATACAGTTATAAAAGAGCGCTGTGGAGCCAAATATTCCAAATAAAATAATCACAATATAAAAAAAAGTCGAAAGAAAAACAGATCGCCAGCTCTTAGACCTATTACGCGGATGACTAGTTTCACAGCCATGCCGGCGTGAGCAATGAAGCTTTACAGTTCGTAGTGGGGGTACATCACGACATTCTAGCGTTTACCAATAATTAAGGTACGACATAAACTCCGTGTAATCGTAAAACGAACAAACTAAATTCTCGGCTGCTAAAAAAAAATCTTATATTGTTCTAATGGACGGAACGACGGTTTTGCGGTTACAAATGTGAATTCATGGATTTTATGTTCAACCGTTGTATTTTATTTATATAAACAAAAAACTTTATCAACTTAACGTACATGCAACCTATTGTTTGTTTATGTACTCAATCAACTAAATACCAATTTATGAATAATAGCAATAATATCCATCATTCAGTAACGATATTTAAACGAGTTGCACGCTTATGCATAGTTCGAATTGAAAAAAAATATATAATAAGATAAAAAGATACCGCAATGAGATACTCATTGCGGTATCTAGACATAGTAAAAAGACCAGGCTGTGGTTGCGATCCAATGTGTTCTCGTTTAAATTTTAGGAAAACAATTATCCGTTATTTGATTGACCTGGTAGGGGAATTATTAAAATGTGTTATCGTCAATCGATATGTCTACACAACAAATAACATTATATGAAAGGCGAGCGGGCATATACCTTTATCTGGTTTTGCTTTTCAAGGGCGTAGAAACCACGCTGGAGTTAGCAGCGGAAAGTTTCGGTACGTCACTGATTGGCAGATTAGGCAATCCCTGCGGACGATTTCCGACAGCACTGTTGTGCTCCGGTCAAACGAAATCTAGGTCCTACTCACACCTGGAGGGAGAGTCCCTTATATTAGTCGAAGAAAAACAAATATTAACTTCGAAATGTTTAACCGTCTGACATAATAGCTTTGACTCTCGATATCAAGAGCCTTGAACTTGCTCCTACCGAATTTCGGTTTTAAAATTGGAAAACACAGTGATTCTCTGACAAGATGATATAAACTTTCTAAGAATTGCACCTTGCTACTTTAATTTACCCTAAAAGGCAATTGCTCATGTTTACATAAAAAAAAACGAACATAAAAGACTACATCAATTGCTCCCAATATCTTTTTTTTACAGTAAAACCGATGAATTACGGGGATATGGCAAATGTTAATTCACAAATACCAAACTCGAACTCTAGATGAAAATTGAAAATTACTTCGGAGCAGTTTGCACATTCCCGGAGAATATGAGCTGAAACACACAATCTGGACGTTTGATTCGTCTATAGTTAACTTGAACTTCATTATCTCTAAAACTGTCAAGGAGTTTAATGATCGAGACCAAAGCTGGGCGTTCAGAGTTTAATTTAATGCTTCCTAAAAACTGACAAGAAAGCCGAAGAAAGCAAGGACGGCTTTTTCAGCTCATATATACCGGGGAAGTAAATCTTCGTGACACGAACCTAAACAAGCGCTTCGAATTAGTTCAAGGGAAGGCATCACCTGTTATGCAGCTGATGTGCAGAGTTCGCTTCCGTCCCGTCATTGTGCCGAAGGTGCCGCCGATCCTGACCCAGATCCGCGAATGCTTGTCGGTTCTTGTCAGCGTCCCGTCCCAACTACGGCACTCATCGGTGTGAACTGTCGCCGGTAAACTCGTCGCCTCTCGTCGTGGGGACTTATCGAGAACAGCAAATTGCGACCACTAAAACAGAGACAGCTTTTTCCTCCCTTTGCTTCCCTTTGCCGCGAATAATCGTGCACGGGGGAGAGGAGCACGGCTGACGCTGGCTCTGACTGTACTCGGAACATCTCCGCACGCTGATAAGCTGCTACCGGCTTTCGCGGGAACCTTTGAATGACAGGAAAGCGCTGACGTTGGCTCGGTTCAACTCGTACATTCGCCGTGTCGTTTCGAAGCACATCGCGTTCCTAAACTGCGCGACTACACTCGGTTACCGGTTAAGATTAATGTGGAAGATCCTCCCATTTTGGTCCACCTTAATTAGCAGAGCGAACGCTGGAGAAGAGGCGATCTCCCCTCCAGCGTTCGCTCTGCTAAAGTGGAAAGAGATGGGGAGCAGCTTCCACTTTACTCTTAACCTTTCACCGACTATATTAATCGAACTATAGAATTTCGTGATGTTCCGGAGTCGGACAAGTAACTTTAATCAATATTTCACTTTTGCCAATTTAACGTTTAAAAGTCAGTAGTTCTAGAAACGATCTAGCTGATTTTCTGCCAGACTTATTGGCAGACATAACGACGGAACAAGAACAAAATTGTTCTGCATATGCCTACCGAAAAACCGATTATAACTTTTCACTACCTCAATTACGGAACTGGAAATCTACCTGGATTCTATCTGGATTTCAGGTTTTTAGAAATTATTCCCTTGTCTGCAATCTGGATTTTGAGTTTCCGGGAAAAAATGTTTAGGTCTATAATCCGGATAGGGACAAGTTATACTTTTTTTTTTTTTTAGTAGGGGTGAGAGTTAACATTTTCAGAGTACGAAATTAGTTTTTATAAAATCATGTCTCTAAAAGATAATTTGCTGCATTCTTTCGGTTTTCTTCCGTTCCCTTTGTACTGATTTCTCAACTGCACGTTCCCGCGAAAACGGGACATGAGGCTTCTTTTAGGCAAAATGACGGGGCGATGTAAATGGACCCCTAAACAGGACTGTCCTGCCCAACAAGGGACGTTTGGTAACCCTATTGAGGACAGTTTATAGGTTCACAATCGGAAGTATATATTTCGCGTATAAAATCAGCCTAGGCGTTCAAATGGCTCAGGGATCTCGGACACGCAATCCGCGGGACGGCTGCGGCCTGCGACTCTCTGTGAAGCGGCTCTCAAGAATCCCGCGGCTGCGAGCCCCATTCCCACCCCTCGAGCGCTAAACACGCCGTAAATAAAACTTTCATACCGTAAATTAATTTCCGCTCGGAAAGAGGCTCTGCTTATATATAAGGCATTCACGCATTTTGCGCTATTCTGTCATCTTTTGGACTTGGTATTACATTTTCTAAATATTTTCTTCTCGACTCTTTCTAACAAATCAAGCGGAATGGCAATATGCAGCTACTGGTCTACAAGCGCAAACTATTTACTCAAGGACAGCCCTTGACTGCAGAAACTCTCTCTTAGTAGGAGGCCAAAAATAAATCCATAAGCTCGGGCTTGTAGCCGTCAAAAAATACCTATAAAATCTTAGTATTTTCTTGTATGTTGCTATAATAATCGCGAGGAAAGCAAACGCTGTCGTACGAAGAGAAATATACTTCGCTTTCCATTCCTGTCGGGCCTTGTGAATTGTGGGACAGGGCAACGACGTGTGCTTGCTTTCGCTCTATTTGAAAATTCCAACACATTGGCATTTTAAATCTTCTCATCAAATCAGGTGTGTGCCAAATGCAGTATTTTAAGGAAATCAAAGGTAAAGATGACACTGGCAAAACGGCGAGTGTACAAAACGCAAGGGAGGTCCCTTCTCTAGAAAACTTCTGTGGTGTCTCTGGGAGAGTGAGCTGCTTTGCAACGTGAAACACCTTTAAAGTTTTTTTTTGTTTTGTTTTTCTACACGCAAAAAAAAAAAATCACAAATTTTTTTTTTCTATGTTGGCCCTCGACCTTTTCGGGTAGGCAATCTGATCCTCAGTTTCAAATCAGTTTGAGATCTCTGATATGGCTGATTTTATTCCCCGTACCCTCTTCAAAAGTGGGGTAGTTTTAAGTGTAAGGAGATTGAGAGCGCATCTGAGCTGGTGAATATTAGGCAACATAATACAACCGGAGACACGGAAACAGAAAAGAGGTAAGCGATACCGTCTCGGACACAGTCGCGTCGGAGACGGTGTTGTGTACGTCCTTTTATGTTTCTGTGGCTCAGGTTTTACTATGTTGGCATAGTTTGTCTAATTCCCATCGTGCGTTTGATATATGACATCGAAGTCACGTATAATAGAGTGCTAGTTGCGGTGGCACCGTATGTTTAGATGACATAAAGTCATTCTGCCTGGTCAAGTTGACACGCTATAAAACTCATTATCGATGCTGCGAGCTGCGGATTTTCTTCCATTTAGCGGGGAACTTAATTGATGTATAGGTTACGTGACGTCAATCTTCCGCTAAATTTGGCGGGGAAACTGAATTGTTGTTTTGGCCGCAAAACTTAAATTTTCGCGATTAATTTAGCGGGGAAACTGAGTTGGCGTGTAGCTCTCGTGCCGTCAATTTCCCCAAAGTGTAGATCCCGTGACGTCATGTGACGTCACGCCACGCTACTTTTCCCACTAATTTTAGCGGAAAATACACGGACGGACGGACAAAGTTTTGGGATTGGGAAGCAGCGCTAAAACCATGACATGCATGCCTTAAAACGTTTTATTTAGTAAACACCGCAACGCTAGAAAAAAAAAAAAAAAAAAGCTTGATATTCCTAGGCTAGTGAAATAACGTTATTTGCTTTTCTTTTGCGTTCGTGACTTTTCTGCGATAATCCTATCGCAGTGTTGGCTTCTCTCTTCCTCGTTCTTATTCACTTGTAATCGTACTCTAATGTAACCGACGAGCGACGTGAATGATAGAAAGAAACCTCAACGTTCCGATTTGCTCAGGAGACCACAGTTTTGTGCTTGTGTTCGACCTAATATAGATCTTTCTTGCTAGATTATTCTTTCATTTAAATGCAAAACAAATGCGGACGAAGAGCATAAAATTATGGACAAACGATAAATAAAAAAATATTTTTGGGATAATTTTTGGGGAAAGATTAGATTTTAATCGTCAAAGTAAAAATTTCTAAGTCAGGATTTAGATCACAGTTAGAACTATCTTGATATTTATTCTCCGACCAGGCAAGGGAAACGTTTACGAAGGTCAACATAATTGAACGAGAAATCAAATCTCTGGTACATATTTGACGTACAACGGACTTTACGCTGTGCAGATAGTACTTGCGTAGGTTTATGATTTCAAGACCTCAGGTATAGAATAGTAAGGGACGGCAATAAAAAAACAACAAAAAAACAAACAAAAAAACAGGGAAGTGTCCGCCTTCTACGAGAGATGGCACGTTTAAAAACTCTTCAAAACTCAGTACGGATACATTAAAAGAACTCAAAACTAAAAGTTGTCGTGCAATTTGATTTTGTCAGCCGCTTGATGGGGAACTCAAAATATACCCAAATTCAGTAAGCCTTGGAGAATAGCATCATTTAGCAACGGATGGTAGAAAAGTAATGTGCAATTTGTACGAGGGTGCATTAGGAAATGTGACTCACGCGGCTATGAAAAAACTAGAGATAGCTAGAAAACAATGTTTTATACTTCACTGCATACACCAAAGGTGCCGAACGCACTCTCAATATCCGACTGTGAGATTACAATTGACTAAATCTGAAGATTTTTGCCATTTACGTCAAAGAGGTCGCTTAAATGTGAGGCCCGCGGGTCATCATACTGCGTTTAAGATATATTTAAAATCATGTTTTGTTTCTAATGTAAAAAAAAAAAGAAACTAAGAAAACATAATTGGTATGCTCCTGGACGTCTGGCGCAGTGTTATACCTTGCCAATTAATTTCCGTTTTCAGTGTGAGAATAATTATGCAGATATGTTTAGCTATAAGACCGAGCAGAAGATAAAACACATAAGATCTGAGTATCAATCACATTCGCATGGGACGCGTGCTTGGTGTTTCTTACATTTTCTTGTAAAGCAAACTCAAGTGGAATTTGCCAGGGATCTGGAGCCACGCCGGCGTTCTCCTTAGCTTCTCAGAAAATATTAGCCCTTCCGTTCATTCTTATGAACAAGAAAAAATGAAATCTTTATGCTCTTTATGCGTTTGTTGTTTTTGTTTCCATGTATCTAAAACTATTGTTTTTTCTGCTCTGCAAAAATGCGATTTGTTTTGCATTCTGGAGATTCACAATGTAACCACCGCAACGCACAGACACAATGTCGAGGTGTGTCGGGGGTGCCGTGAAGCAACACGCACGCATACACACACGTTATATTAAGTACTGAAGTCGCACTTCGAAGCATGTTTGGTGTTTTAAAGCATTCAGTGTGTCGACGTTTCGGCCTGCGTCAGGCCTGCTTCGAGACTATATATATATATATATATATATATATATATATATATATTGCCGCGACAAGGTGTTCTTGAATATTTGTAGATTTCAGAGGAGCTAAGTTCAGTCGTTTTGTTTGGACGAGCTTAAACAATATTTCTGTGAGCCACACGGCCACTTTTTACATTTTACTCACACAAGTTAGCGCCTAGCAGAAACTTTTATACCGAGGTTGGTGGCTCATATAAGTAAACTGTACTGAGCTGCGACTTCATATAAATTTCTACAAGCAGTTGGTAAATTTTAAAATGAAATAGGCACTCGCGCCTCTATCTACTACCTGTGTTAGTCTCAACACTTCCAAGCAAATGCTTTAATCTATGCATATAATACATAGATGGAAATATTACTGCTTACAAGCTTCAGCGCTTGAAGAAATATCAAGTGTCTGCACATTTTTTTTTTCTGCACTGGTGCCTTAAAACGCGGTTAATATATTGTGGAGCGCTCTTCCTTCTACAACAAAGCCATGCTATCTCAGGGATACACTGCTTTTCCAAAACCATTTTTAACGTCTAAATAGAATACCTATTTCAGAATAACCCCCCCCCCCCCCCCGTCCCCGAAAAATAAAAGTCTTAACGATTATTCACTTTTTAAGACAAATTGCAATTAGGAGCGATTCTGAGGTGAGAAAGTCAGTTCCAGTAT